GGATCATGACCTGAGCCGAAGGCAGTTGCTTAACCAACTGAGCCACCCAGGCGCCCTCAAATAAATAAAATCTTAAAAAACAAAAAAACCCTTTGATTCTGGGGCGCCTGGGTGGCTCAGTCGTTGAGCGTCTGCCTTCGGCTCAGGTCATGATCCCGGGGTCCTGGGATCGAGCCCCACATCAGGGAGTCTGCTTCTCCCCACATCAGGCTCCCTGCTCACCGGGAAGCCTGCTTCTCCCTCTCCCACTCCCCCTGCTTGAGTTCCCTCTCTCGCTGTGTCTCTGTCAAATAAATAAAATCTTTAAAAAAATAAATAAATAAAACCTTTTGATTCTGACAACCAACTGGTTTGTGGAGCCATTGAATCTTGGGAAATGTCTGAGTTCAAACACCCCTGTGAACTTTTACTCCAATGTAGTCATGAGAAGGGATGGGCAAGTTGCCTACTGGTCTTTCCACGGGTTTCAATGTAAAAACAGGCTTTTAGAAAAATTTTGCTCAAATTATCTTCCAAAACAATGAAATTCAGTTAAAAGAACAATGTTTTGAGATTGTTTAATGAACCACTTAAAAAATGAAACTTTTTATTCCCAATAAAAGTGAATTTTGAATATAAAACATTTGCATTACTCTGGTTTGCATATAAATTTTTGTCTCTGAAAATCAGATCTAGAGCTGACAAAAAGTGTGGCAGCAATAAAAAGACACTAAAACAGAGATATAGCTTTGCAATCTTTTGTCAATTTAATGTTTAAAGAAGGAGCAGAAATAGGAACTATGAACGGAAATAACTGAAACGAGGAAGGAAACATCTGCCTAAGTAACAAAGGAAACCCACAGAAAGAACCTTCTGATAAATGAAGGAATTATCAGACTGGATGGGGATACAATGGAAAGAATATTCTCACCTAATTCTAATTCTGGTCTGTCATTTATGGTGATTCCCAAGCTGGTATCAGGCACATACGAATTTGAGTCCTGGTAATATCTGCAAACTCAAAATTCTAGAAATGACTGTTGATCTACTTTTATGGGCTAGTTTCAGAGTCTTAATGTTTACCAAGGAAAAGATAATTTTTTAAATCTGGGAAGAATAGGGAATTCTATATGGGCATGAGGCAAACATTCAATGTCTTTAATGCTCAACTATACAGAAACAAATACGTTTGTGACTGAAAGAAATGGACCATGGAGAGGCAAAGATTTGGTTTGCCAAGGTAGTTCCAGATCCTCTGGATTCTGCGTGGCCTGCAGTGGCTTCCCGGATGCTCTGCATTTCCTGGGCCACAGCCACTGTCAAGACCACTGTGTTCGGGGACCTCTCACCCATCACCAGGCAGTTCTCAGTGCTGCTTGCAGACCCAAGGTGAGGTGCACAAAAATTAAGCCTGGCTCTGTTGGGAACAAAACTCTGCCATAGCTGACTGAATTTAACTCTCTGGGAAGAGGGATAAGATGCCCAGCATTGAAGGAAGGCAAGTCTTTTCTGAGCACCTCGTCCCCTCCCCGCCCCCAACTGCACTACTTCCTCCCTGCTCTTGGCCAACATTCTTGTGGGGCTCTTGTTCCAAATATGCTCTTCTGTAGGGAAGGTTGGAGTAGTGAACCATGGGGGTTCCTCAATCTCCAGACTTTCCTTATCGATGGTCTATTGGCCTTTGGCATGGGGGATGGTAAGAGGGTGAGAAGTGTCCAGGATGACTCCAGCTTCTTGATTTGTGCACTTGTGTGGGCGGAGGTGCCACTGACAGGGATATGGGACCCTGAGAGAGGACCCTGGTGGCGAAGGTCAGGAGGGTTGGTTTAGAGATGCTGGTTTCCAAGTGCTCTGAGGCACCTTAGTGGAGGTGAGAAGAAGTAGGCAACTGGATGTAAGGGCCGAGGGACAGACCGCAGTACAGACACACAGCCCTCCCCTCGTGGATCTCGTGTACAACAGGAACAGATTTACTCAAGTAAGGACCAACATAAATATCAACAAAATTTCATGAGAATGAGGGAGTGATTAAAAGGTACGGAGCCCATAAAATGACTGAAAAGTTGTCATGAACATAGCGACATGGAGCTCCCTGGGGACCTTCATGAGCGCTCTTTTGTTTCCAGTGATGGGGCCGAAGGCAAACTGGAGTGGGGTAAGGTTGGGGAAGTGGGGGCAGAGCATCACAACTCTTCGGAGAAGTGTGCTGTGAAGGAGAGAAAGGGGGTCATAGCTGGAGACACATAAGCGTTTCAGGAAAGTTTTTTTGTGTTTGTCTTCAGCTCAGTTGCTGTGTTTTTAAGAAGAAAGAGAGCAGCAAAGTGAAAGACCATTTCTAGGAGCCAGGTTGTGAGGAGAGGTATGATAATCAACACCTTAAGTTTTCCGAGAAAGTGCGAAATGGGATCTGAAGACTTTCTTGGGCAGGACAGGCATTTTTCTGGCTCCACGGAGGCTAGGAAGGGCGGAGGGGCAGCAATGGTGGGCTGGACCATGCGTTACCGTCTGATGACTTCGCTTTTCCCCATAAGCAGAGGCCAGGTAGGTGTCTGGGAAGGGCTGCAGGCAGGCTGAGGAGAGCGGAGAAGGCTTGGCCGTGTCTTTGCCTTTTGCAAAGGCATTTTTCCATTTGCAGGGAATGGAGGAGAGCCAGGCAGGACCGAGGGCCGTTGGCGTTCCTACCGCTGATGCTGCCCGGCTGTGCCGCTCCTCCTGCAGGGGCAGGTGCAGAGAACGCAGGTGGAGTGCATCTGGGCTCAGGTTCTGTCAGGCGAGTGTGACAAGGACCGAGGAGCAAGGATGTTGAGGGTAACAGCAAAACCAGTACTGGCATGGGGGAACACGGAATTGCAGCTGGATGAGGAGGGAAGGGAAGGAGGGGGCAATAGACTGGGCAGAAAAGGTAGGACAAAGGAGGCTCCTGGAGGTGGTGAAGAATGGTCGCAGGGGAGCAGCTGGGGGGACAGCACGGGGTGGGATGGGTCTTCCGCAGGTATGCTGATAGGTGACAGCAGGACGTGGGTGGAAGGATTCTGTGATCCTGGTTAGTAGATGACAGAGATAAGGACAGGTATGATCAATGGTAGGAGCCTTACAGGAATAGGTTTTTTTCGTTTTCATCTCCCTTCCTTCCTTCCTTCCTCCCTCCACATTCTTTCTTTCTTTTTACCAGAGAAAGGAGAGGAAGGCCTTCATTTTCCTACCCATAGATCTCCCAGCCTCCTTCTATCCTGTGCTTACAGAAACGACCAACCGCTCCATATGCACTCTGGGTCCTGCCCCATCTCACCTCACTTGGATATCTCGTCTTCTCTGTATATTCCATCGTTGTCTCTCTGCTAAACCATTCTCACTCACACAAAGATGCCGCACTCCGCTGTTCATAAATATAATCCTCCAACTCTCTCTCAGAGGTCCCTGGCCTCTACAGATTCCTGGGCTCCACAAGAGACTTGGAATGTTCTTATGCTCAGTACAGTATGCACGGCCTTGCTGCTGCTTTCATTTGAAAAACCTAACTCATTCCTACTTCCTCCCACCCTGGGCCACCTCCATGTCCATTCCTCCGCTCCTCTCAGGGACAAGCTTCTCCAGATCGGTTACTAGGAATCTGCTGCCTATCACCTCTTCCTCACTTCCCATTCTCACTTCCAACCCGCTGCCTGCCCTGTGGCTCTGCCTCCCAGTCCCTGCAGTGATGGTCCCCCCATGCAAGTATCAGTGTCTTCCTTGGGGTAAAAGTGGGGGACAATTTTCAGCACTCTCTCTGACTTCTCAGCAGCCTCTGTCAAAGTGGACTTACCCCATCTCCTGAAACAGTTCTTCACTCAGCCCCAGAGGCCTCCCCCACCCCTAGGTTTCTGTGTACTTCTCTGGCCGGCTCTGCTTGTTGTCCTTTACTGATTCCTCTTCTCAGCCTCTGCAGGTTGGTTTTTTCACTTTCTGGCTCTATGGGAGGCAATGCCATCCAATTCCACGGCTTCAAATACCATCAGTATTCCGATACTGATTACTATCTCCAGCCTTGTCACTCTTGGTGAGCTTCAGCCCCACATATGCATCTATGTAGATGTCATTTCTCCTCGGATTCACATGTCCAAAACGCAACTCTTGATCTTCACCACTTCCCTGCCAAACTTCTCAAGCCTCTTTATCTTAGAGAACGGTGCTCAACTCGGGGTCATCCGTGATCCCTTTCTTCCTCCCTTCCATCTCCGTTGAATGAGGAGTTTCCCCCACCCTCCCTCAAATGTCAAAGCCATTCAAAACAGGCTTTCTGATTGCAATCTAAACTGGGTTTCCCTGTTACATGCTCACAGCATCCAGGCGCTGGCCACAGCTCTCCCCTCCCTTACTTACTAAGTTCCCAGAGACAGGCTCAATAAACCCGCGGGAGAGACAGCGTAAGCCTTTCCTAGACCGGGGGCAGCCCTGCCCCAGGCAGGCGCGCGCCGGGCGTAAACCTCCCGGGATGGACTGGGAGCCAGGACCTGCACTTGCCCGGGAAGGCGCAGGCGGGAGTGGCCGTGCCAACACCCGCCCTCGGCTCCGCGCGGCTTCCGGGGCACGCCCTCGCCCCGCGAGCCGTGCTGGGACTCCGCCCTCCAAGAAAGGGGCGGAGCCTCTCGCGCCAACCAGGGTGCGGTCGCGGTCGCTAGGCCCCACCGCGGCCGGTCGGCCGTCGCCGTTTTAAGCGCGGAGGCCGGCGGGTCACGTGCCGGACGGGGTGGGGGCGTGGCACCAGGAAGCGGCCTCCGCGCCCGGTCGGATCGCCGTCGCCACCGCCCGGCCCGACTCGTCGCGTCCCTGTGCCG